ACATCTAACCGGTAGCTTCCCTATTGGGCATAAGAACTTATGACATGCTTATAATATGCAATAAGAACCAGGAACATTATTTTGTGTCCTAATTATTCTGTTACTCTAAATGTGTGTATGTGTTTTATTGTTACCGCTATGCCGCTCTGACCACTGTCCATAACTTTACCTTCTGTTTCTTCCCTCTCCCTCCCTCTCTCCCTCTCTCCCTCCCTCCCTCCCCACCCTCCCTCTCTCTTCTCCCTCCCTCTCTCTCTTCCCTTCCTCTCTTCCCTCCCTCTCTCCTTCCCTCCCTCCCTCTCTCTCTGTCTCTGTCTCTGTCTCTGTCTCTCTCTCTCCTCTGTGGTATAAGGAATAGCTACCCAGTCTTGAACTAGGTGGCATTGTCGTTGGTACCATACAGCTCCAGATGTAAGCTTTCCCTACCGCAGTTACTGTTTTTCCCCCTTTATCACATTTCATTTGATTTAAACCTCAGTACCAGATGAGTTCTGTGTGGTCCTTGGCCTTCTGCCCTGATGTCTTTGCCACTGACTGTCCAGCTCCTTTCTAGATGTGTCTCTTCTCATGGAGTGTAAATAATGGTGGTCCTTGCCCCAAGTCAGCATGGTACTTTCTATACAAGTACACCAGGGCTGATTGACTACACATCCCTGGGCCGGGTTTCCCCTCTCTCTCCCTCCCAACCTCCCCCCTCTCCCTTATCATCCCTTGTTAACTGTATTCCTTTGGAAGATTTTTCTGGTTAGTCATTATCCTCTGATCATTCATGCTTTCTCCTCCACGTTTCTCTTCCCTCAGCCTCTTGCATTCTCTTAATCTCATTAGATTTCCCTTCCTCTTGAGTCTTGTGGTTGAGGTTTGCAGTGGATGGGGGGAGGAGAGGTTAGAAGGGTGAAGGGGGGTGCATACATCTGCTGCTGTCTGATTACCTTATCTAGAATGAGATGCTATGGAGCCTATTTCCTTTATCACTGCTCTTGAGAGTAGACGCTCCCTGGTCTCTGATAGCAGAGCTTTCATGTGCTGACCCTGTGGCAGATGACTGCCTTTGTGACTGAGCAGGGGGACCAGTCCCTGGAGAAGGTTCAAGGTAAAGGGAGTGGACATGGGCAGGCTTCCGGGAAGAGGGGCATGGTGTTTACGTCCTGTTTGTGACTTTGATTTGAAGGAAGGTTAAGTTGGTAGTATTCTGGGCTCAGAAGACATTTGTTCCTGGAAGACAGTTAGGTGTGGGCAGTGTCTCTCCTTGGTTAGTTTTTACTAAGCATGCTTGTGAGTGTGGGGATGTTTATCTGTTATCTGTCAGAAAGACACTGTGCTAATCCCACCGATGAAGAATAAAACCACCACCACAGTTTACAGCCAAATTAAATACTGCCAGGGGGATGGATTCTAGCCAGGTTCAGACCCGGGTTCCTAGGAAATGGCTCAGAATCAAGCAAGACAAGGGCTTAAGAAGGAAAAGCCATAATTCATTGTATTTCCCATCGTGTCCAATCATGGGCAAGCATACATCCTGACATACCTCCAGCCTGCATCCAATCTGGGACAAGTATACATACTGACATACCTCCAGCCTACATCCAATCAGGAGCAGGTGTACATCCTGATGCATTTCCTTCCTGTGAACTTCTCGCCCATATGTAATCACATACATTCAGTACAGATGGGTCAAACAAATTGTGTGGCTTGGTATCTTCCATAAATAGTAGCCTCCAGCATTTCAGGAAGTATCTAACCTTGCTTGGGCAAGGGACTTACAGATCAGAGGCTTTTTTTTTTTTTTTTCATTTTTCCCTAAGTGTAGGCAGATTATTTTTAATGATTTCTGAGTAGTTAGTTTAGAAACAACATATTTCTGTTAAAGCTATATAATAACCTCAGTTTTACATAGAGTTAGTTGAGTGTCCTATCATACTGTAGAACTATTTGGCTAATGAATCTTCCTGTTGATAGATCTGGGTCTATTTGGTTCTAACAGGTACCTTTCCTGGTATGCCCCAAGAGGCACTATAGGTATCTGTTTTGCTTCCCATGCCAGGGAGTTTCCTTTTGCTCTAATATTACAGGCAATATACTGTCTTCTGTAACTACTACCGGCTGAAACCAGGACGTTGTTGTCAGGGCCCAGGAGGGCTGGAATGCTAGTCAAAGGCAAGGAGGGAATTCAGGCAATGGTCATTCATTAGAAGCATCTGGATCACTGACTCAGCTGAAGAGACAAGGACTGGCCCTTTACATTGGCTGGACTGGCCCACATCAGCTTTCAGCAAGTCCAGGGCTTGCAGTCATTTGGAGCAGATTGCAGTCAGTAGCTGATGCTTGGGTAGTGTCTGCCAGCCAAGTGGAAATCTGCTGAGATGGAAATAGATTAGGATGGAAGTTAAAATTTAGGAACTTAAAGGAAAATCTTACATTTGCAACGTTAAGGTCCATTAACCCTAGTAATTGGGAAAGGAGAGGCATTCTGAGATCAAGAGAGAGAGAAATACCATCTCCAGGAATAGACAGGTGGGGAAACAGGCTGTACTTACCTGGGGTTCTTTTGACCTGTGAGGAGTGGATCCCGGAAAAAGAATGAGGGGAGATCGGCCGGGAATTTATTGGGAGGTAGACGTCACTGAAATTAAGCCAGGAAAATACATTTTTTTTCAGTTTACAAAAAGACATAAAAAGTTTTAGATATATTAGCAATACCAATCTGTACTGAAATCTACATTCTAGAAAAAGCAGGAAACAGGTGTCTGTAAACAGCTGGAGTAGCCTCACATCTTTGAGTCCTAGAAAAAAGGTATAGATTTGGGTTAAAAGCATGAACATCTTTTAACTCTGTCCAGAGAGCTGGATAGGATTGGACAGAAATGACTGTAGCCTGATGAGAAACACCGGAAATTACATTGTGCTTACAGACCCCAGAGCTCAGGACAGGTAGAAAGAATGAATAGAACCCTAAAAGAGACCCTTACTAAATTGGCTATTGAGACCGGCGGCAAAGACTGGGTGACCCTCCTCCCCTTTGCGCTCCTTAGGGTCTGAAACACACCTGGACGTTTCGGCCTTACCCCTTACGAAATCCTACATGGGGGATTGCCCCCTTGACTGAGTCAGGCGGAATACTTAGAAGACAACCAAAGGAAATTTAAAATCTTGAGCTTGTGACTGAACAGTTAAACCCTGAGCTTCTGAAATCCTAGTGTAAAGGGAAAGAGATCTGAAACATTTCCTGTACCTTAAATCACCAATTTATACCTTTACAATACATATTAAATAATTTTCTGAGGCCCTCAAAATGTATGTAAAACTTTCACATCCTCAGACCTTCATAGTCTTAGACCCTCAGAACTTATATAGACTCTCATGTCCTCAGACCTTTATATTGAAGAGTAAAAAAATTACTAGCTGTCTATAAGAACATGGGCTCGTCACCTTGGGGTCCCTGTCCCCTGCAGGTGGCCACTCCCGGAACTCTCATGAGAAAAAACAGTTCCTGGGATAACCACAGGATGTCCCAACGACCTCTGTGGAATGTTCAAACCCCCAGGTGTGTCCACATAGTTTAACTGATGAGTAAATGTGTAACTTTGGGCTTCCCCTATTTCCTCCCTAGTCCTCCCCCTCCTTTGTGGTTTTT